AGACACAGAATCCTGGATTTTAGATACTGAAATGCAGATTCACTGAATGTTAGAAAAAATGTCCTAATAAGACCAGTACAGAGAGGTGGTGAGATCCCCTTCACTTGCATGCATTCAGGCAGAGGCCTGAAATCCAATTGTTTAGAATGGTTTAATTCGGATTCCTGTACCGAGCTAAGGGTTAGGCTCAAAGGTCCCTTTCAACTGTATGATTCTTCTATTTACTGCCAAGCAGTCGCCTGTTATCGTTGTCTAAAGTAAAACCTAATACAGTATAAATGAGTTAATTCTATAATATTTTTGTCAAGGAAAAAGTAGATTTACAAACTAGAGATTAGGAATGGAAGCTAACCATAATTGTCAACGGAAAAGAACAAGAAGTTTTTCTGAGCAATGACGCCTCAGTCTCTTAAACACCAAAACTACAAATCAATCTTGCTGTTTTCTAAGCAGACACAGCTAAAAACCTCTCCAATCATATTTTAATGGTCATGATTGCAAAGGTATTTCAAGATACCAAGACAGATTTTATTGTTTAATGGACATTGTTCTGAGGACTCTTCAGCTGAAGTAGATATCTAAACAGTAAATTTCAGTGGGCAAGGTCTATTTGCAGGCTTGGTGGTAGAAGACAGTTGTTTACAAGAGTTTAATTGCAACTATTGGTTCTAGGCAGTTAATCAGAATTATAATGAGATTACTCTGTGAGGCATGATTTGATTTGATTATGTGCCATCAAGTCATTTTTGACTCCTCCTGTGACCACAAATGGATTTTCTTCATGACAATCCATCTCTAACCTGGTCTTTCAGGACTGCCAATGGTGCCCTCATCCCCCACTGTAACTGAGTCCATCCACCTTTCTGCTGGTCATCCTCTTCTTCTCTTTCCTTCCACCTTTCCCAGCATTAAAGCCTTTCCCAGAAACTGGGGGCATGAGGAAGAAAATTCACCTGAAACGTTATTCAATTTTGCTCTACAAATCTTTTATTAAAGGAAAATACTAAAAGTTTATATGTAATCTAATGGGTGGAGAATATTATTAAAGCTAGTCTTTCCATTTCAAAAACTTATTACTGTTCTATATTTCTTCTCAGATATTAATATAATATAATATAATATAATATAATATAATATAA